AAGTTAGATTTCATTTTTCTTGCTTTGGTGGAAACTGAAAGTTTCTGGTTTTTTTACCTCAGAGAATCTGCTAGTGTGAATTGGGACATTGAAAGAGTCACGTTAGCCGATGAAGGCCTCTATGAATGTATTGCCATCAGCAGTGCGGGGAATGGAAGAGCAGAGACGTTTTTTGATGTTTCGGGTAAGTATCAATAGTGTTTTATAATGCCTTCAGTTTTGATCTCTATCACTTACGGAGATGCTATTTACTTAATCAGTTTGCATTTATCCAATTGTTTTTGTGATTACTTGATTGTAATCTCTCTCCCTTCTGAATTTGAACTCAAGTCCTGGCTTTTCTTCCTATCCCCAAGCCAAGTTTCTAATTGTCCCTAACAGTTTACAATTTCTTGCTCAAGCACTTAATGCTTTAGTTTCCCTGTCTGTAAAATATGGAGAGACTGTGTGGAGGCCACCTTGGTGATAAGGAGCTGCAATGCCAACCCAAATGTTCATGGTTCAAATCGACAAGCCACTTCACCGAAGAAAGATAAGCAAGCCCTCCCTTGTGCTTTTCTGCCTCTGGAAATCCAGGAGACGGTCAGCTATGAGTCTGTTCAAATTGACAGCATGTAACAACAACAATAACAAACTCTGCTACATAGAAGTATTTACTAGATGCTAGATTTTATTGTTATTATCATTAGCCTTGGGTTCTGACATATAACAGTGGTTATCTTAATGGTACCAAAAGTAAGAAAAATCCCGATTGTGATCGTCATTTATTATGGTGGTTGTTGTTGTTGTTGTTATGTGCCATCGAGTCGTTTGCGACTCATAGTAACCCTATGTACAACAGCCCTAAACCCTGCTCTATCCTGTGACAGTCGCACTGCCTCTGACACACCATCCTGATTACCCCAGTCACTGAACCAATCCACCTCTTAGAGGGTCTTCCCCTCCTGTGCTGTCCCTCCAAACTCCCAAGCATGATGCCCCTCTCCAGTGACCTGTCCCTCCTTACAACATG